AGGCCCTGGGTTCGATTCCTCAGCACCACATATGCCGAAAAAGCCATAAGTGGCGCTGTGGCTCAAGTGGTAGAGCACTAGCCTTGAGCTGAAGAGCTGAGGGACAGCACCCAGGCCCAGAGTTCAGGCCCCAAAACCGGCAAAAAAGAAAAGACAGAGAAATTTCTGATATATTGTATGCTATATCAGTGTGACTTTGGTTCTATTTTTTTATCTCTCCTTCACTTTATCATAAAGTCATATGCTACAATGTGAGCTGATTTCACATTTCTACATTCTGGGATCTTGTTACAAATGTGTCTCTCTGAATTAATTCTGATATAATTGTTCACTGCATAATGGCAGTGAGATTTCATAATATATGAGTTGCAATATCAAAGCATAAAAGCGATTCTAGTTTAAAAAAGGAAACCAGGTTTCATTCCAAAATTGTCCTTAAGATTTTGTATATCACTCAGGGTGATGGCTCTCAGACTTTCTGTTCTCAGAATCTGTTCAGTAAAATATCTGAAGGGCCCAAAGTGCTTTTGTTTATGAGATTGCATCAATCAATATTGAATGGCTTAATAAGTGTGTAGAAACACTTTTGAAATATTTGTTCATTTAAAAAAAATAAAAAAATCTTCACCTATTAACATATATTTATTAAAAATGATAATTTTTCAAACAAAAGTATTGATAAACAATGACATTGCTTTATCTTTTTGCAAATCTCTTTCATGCATGGTCTATTAGAATCCGCTAAATCTCATAGACATCTTTATTCAATATGTTACAATAGAATATGTCATGGAACCTTTAGAAAATTTCTCAACACTGAAGAGGAAAAAGAGCAAATAGACAAACAATGCTTCAGCTTTATTATGGATCATTTTGTTCTCATATATACACTGAAGGTATTTGGGGGTTTCCAGATCCCACTTTGAGAACCACTGACTTAGAACAAAACAGTGTTTATTCAGTGTTAAATACATATGAAGATAAATCAAATCCATAATTAGTCACACATAAGAACACATATATTTAGGGGCTGGGAATGTGGCTTAGTGGTAGAGTGCTTGCCTAACATGCATGAAGCCCTGGGTTTAATTCCTCAGTACCACATAAACAGAAAAAGCCTGAAGTGGTGCTGTGGCTCAAGTGGTAGAGTACTAGCCTTGTACAGAAGCAGCTCAGGGACAGTGCCCAGGCCCTAAGTTCAAGGTCCAGGACTGGGAAAATAATATATATATACTTAGCCAGGCACACCAGTGGCTAACATCTATAGTTCTAGGTATTTAGGGTAAGATCTGAATATTAAAGTTCCAAGCCAGCTCAGGCAGACTCTTTTCCCCAACTAGCCAGCAAATCCTCAGATTTCAGCCTCTTGAGTAGCTAGGATTATAAGCATGAGCCACTGGCCCTTGGCTTTATTTTATGCTCTTTTATCTTAAGCACTGTAGGTACTTGATTCATTTTTCCCATATAATCAGCCAATATAGGCCAAAGACATGCTGACTTTTAACCTCAGATTTTCACTTCATCACTTCCGTTCAGCCCATTCACTCTGTGTGTGTGTGTATGTGTATGTGTGTGTGTGTGTGTGTGTGTGTATGTGTGTGTTCTGGTACTGGGGCCTTAACTCAGGGCCTATCCTTCAGCATTTTCACTAGAGGCCAGTGTTTTATTACTTAAGCCACATCGCCACTTCTGGTTTTTTGCTGGTTAATTAAAGAGTCCACAAACTTTTCTGCTCAGGTTGGCTTTGAACTTTGATCCTCAGATCTTAGCCTCCTGAGTAGCTAGGCACCTGCAGGCCAGCGTATTCACTTTTACTTTGCTTTTGGGGCAACATTCCCTTTTTAAGAGAGATATTTTCACCAGATTAATATCAGGGAAACATTAGAAGATTAGACAATACTTTAAGTCTAACTAGAAATATTGTGGGACTGAACTGCATAATATATGTGTAGAAATTCAATTTTTTTCCTTTTGAAATCTCTTTCAATTAAGAAAATGTATTCATTTTTGGTTATATTTGGTCAAAATTGCCCCAAATAAATCTTCAAATGATCTTCAAATAAGCTTAGTGTACCTTTGTTTGTATTTGTATAATCATTCACCTATAAAAGGAAATATGTATTGTTTCCAGTTTTAGCTATTCTAAGTAAAGCTCAAATGAACATTCATGTAGTCTTCTTGTGTGAATGTAGCTTTCGTTTCTTTGAAAAAAATGACCAAGAGTGATACTGCTGAGTCATAAGGTAAGTCCATGTTTAGTTTTATAAGAAACTGTTTTTCAGAGTTGTACCATTTTACATTGTTGCAGGCAATGTCTGACTCATTCTATTTCTTTGTATCTATGCCAGCATTTGGTGTTATTTTAGAGGTTCAGAGTATTGTAGCTATACTTTTAATTTGAATAAGGTACAAATGGAGGGGCAATTCTTCTTCCCTCACTCTTTAAAAAATATATATGTATATATTTTGTGCCAGGATGGAGGCTTGAACACTGGGCTTGAGCAATGTCCCTTAGCTTTTTCACTTAAGAATGGTGCTCTACCCCAGGATACAAGGACACATGACCTACCTCCATGTTCATTGCTGCACTCTTCACAATAGTCATGATATGGAAACAACGCAGATGCCCTACTACAGATCAATGGATTGAAAAATTTTGGTACCTAAATACAATGGACTCTTACCCATCCATTAGAAAGGATAAAATAATGGCATTCACAGGGAAATAGATGGAACTAGAACAAATCATATTGAGTGAAAAAAGTCAAGATCAAAGAGACAAGTGGCATATGGTCTCCCAGATATGCAGATGTTAAATTCAAAACACAATGAAATACGACAAAGTAAACAGGAGTCAAGAAACAAAGGCCCTCTTCTTAATTTGTCATATCGTTTTTAGACAACTCTATGTTCTTGACCTCACCTATGGTATATACATGTGCACATCTGAGGGGAGCTAGGAGGAGGGCAAAGAATCAGAGGAAAATGGGTGAAAAAATACAGCAGAGGGGCCCATCAGCTGCCCTGGACTTTGATGAAAGTGAACTAAGCAACTCAAGGGCATGAGAGGGAAAGAGGGAACAGCTGATATTAAGCAAAAAGAAAGAAATATACATATCACCTGATTTGGAAGAAATAGTTGTGAAGGGTTAAAGTACTTGAGGCAGTGACCATTTGTTGCTTGTTTCAGAGCAGAGCAACACGTGGTGGTAAAACACCTGGTTGTGTGCCTTTATAAGCCCTGCAAATCCTTAGCTCAGGGCTCTCCTCTTAGGCTCCGCTGTGTCGGAGTGTAGGACGAGGTCTGAGATGCAGCCCGTCTAAATAAAACCTTAAAACAGCTGTAAAGTCTGACTCTCGGTGGTCTTCTTGGTGGGGGTTCTGCGACCTAGGCATAACAGTTGTTTTGTCAAAGTTTGTAGAGTTCATAACGACAATTTACCTTGTGAAGGTTAAAACGTGTTTGTGACTTTGGCTAAGTATCACTATCCAATACTGTGGAATTTATGTAATCACTTAATCTCAATAAAGAAAAACAGAATGGTGCTCTACCACTTGAGCCACACCTCCACTTCTGGCTTTACACTGGTTAATTGGAGATAAGAGTCTCAGATCTTTTTGTCTAGGTGGCTTTGAACCTCAAATCTTAGATCTCAGAGTCGCCTGAGTAGCTGGGATTATAGCCATGAGGTACTGTCACCCAGCTTCAATTTTTTCTTTTATGCATCAACCTGGGTCTGTCAAGTCTAAAAACAATTCACCTTGCCCCAAGTCCTGAAGATTTTTCATAGCTTTTCTAAATATTGTATTGTATTGCATTGTATATTGACTCTCAATTTCTAACACTTTCACTTAAAAATAGATATGTGTTTGTAGTGTGTGTGTGTGTATGTATGTGTATTTGTGTGAGTGTGTGTATGTGTGTGTTTGTGCATGTGTATGTGTATGTTTGTGTATGTATGTATGTGTGTATGTATGTGTATTTGTGTGAGTGTGTGAGTGTGTACTGGGGTACTTGGGCTTGAACTCAGAGCTTCATGCTCTTGCTTGGCTTTTTCCTTCAAGTTTTGAGCTCTACCATTTGAGCCACATCTCTACTTCCAGATTTTTGCTAGTTAATTTGAGGAAAGAGTTTCATCGATTTTTCTAAGCGTGTTGGCTTTAAATCTTGATCATCAGATCTCAGATACCTGAGAAGCTAGGATTATGGTTATGAGCCACTGATACCTGGCTGTCACTCTGATCTTACATGAAATGTTTTTGTTAGGACATATAGAGATAAAAATGACTGTCTTGCCATGCCTCTTAGCCCCCTTTACAGATGCAGTGAGACCAAGGTCTCCCTTGAATCTGGCCCATCACTTAGCTGATCTTGGAGAGTCTAACCTCAGGCCCTCAGAGTGCTTAAGTGAAGCTGTATCTATAGGTCTGATTCCAGAGGGCTAGATATGCTAGGTAGAAAATTGTGATAGACATTATCTACTGTCTTCCCTTGCATATTACAGGCAATGTGTCTTAGAGGTCACTTGCCACCGGTGACCTGTTCTCCAGGCTGGGAATGTAAGAATGGAAAAGCTCGGCTCACATTATTGTATGTTTCCTATATCATATGTAAATATATATTATGTGCACATTTATGTGTGAGTTTATACATATGCATACAAGTATTGGATATCTATTTTAAATTTATGTTTTACAGATGAGGACAATGAAAGTTAATAAAATGGTATATTTTAAGAGTGTTATCATCAAGTCCAATTCTACTGCTTTTAATGGGAAATGGAATGATTCAGTTCCTGACCTCTTTCCTAAAAGGAACTTGTTATATTTGCATGGCTTTATAACATATTAGGAGCTGAAGGCAGAGGGCTCAAGCCATTTCTGAATATTATGAGTAGTGTTGTTACAACTATTGGCTGTTGTTATTACTGGAAGGCCAAGATGAGATGGTTGTGACTGTTTTTTTTTTCCTTCTTAATATCTGGTTTTACAGGAGAGCCATGGATTACTACAGGAAATACGCAGCCGTCATCCTGGTCATGTTGTCTGTGTTTCTGCATATTCTCCATTCCTTCCCTGATGGAGACTTTACCATGCAGGGTATGAAGCCAAATTTGAAGTAATTAGGATAACATAGATTTCTGGATGGACATCAATAGCTCCATTAATTACACTTCTACCTCCTTTTCAAATGTGATAAATCCTCACTGCTGGATACATAGCTAGGCATTTGTAGATGGTGAACATACAATTAAATTAGGTTCAGAGCAAATGGTGTCTTACACATCCATTTAAGTAGCAGCTGGTACATTTTCATTTGAAATAGGCTCATTATTTCTCCTTATGAGTTTTACAAGAACATCATTCTTATTCATTTTTTCTGCATTTCTCCCAGGAAGATTTGGGATGATTTTAACATTGCCTTTGAAGAAGAATTGTCATATCAGTTAACAAGTGAGGAAAAACAAAACCATTTTTTTCAGAGTTTTTTTTTTTGCTTGCCTTTGTTTTTTATTTGTGTTGGTCCTGAGGCTTGAGGGCCTGGGCACTGTTCCTGAGCTTTTTTGCCCAAGGCTAGTGCTCTACCACTTGAGCTATAGCTCTACTTCCAAACCAAACCAGATTTATTCAGCAACTTGTTTTGCTGTATTGTTTGAAAATTCCTATCCAGTGTCGGATATAATTCCATTGGTTTAAAATTGTGAACAACTATTTGTTATCCTTTTTCCTCTAGATACATGATAATATTTTAATCCCCAATCCCAACTGTAGATGCTGATCAAATACTAGGCTCTCTGTGTTTACCAAGCTTTCTTAATTCTGACATATTTTTCTCTGCTAATATTTGGAGCTCCTGTAGGGAAATAACAACAGCAAGTTCTAAAGGAGAAAATATTTTGCCTCTGGGCAAAATTTTCCCTTCAGAATATGGCATTTTCATCTGTCAAGTTTTGTGTTCTCTCTAAGCATACTATTAGCATTGAGATAAATTCATACTTGGAAGGGAGAGAAATTACTGTGAGAGTTCCCATGTAGGTCTGAAAAAAGTTGTTTTCCTATAAACATGTTCATAATTAGCGTAAATAGTATGTATGAAGATTAACATGTAGTCAAAATAATTTACTTCCCTCTCATTGTCCATGGAAAAGGAATATTTTCCATCTCCTTATATGGAAAAAGCCAATTTATCTTTGAATCCTTTTGGGGTTCTTTCTTTCTTTTATTGTCTGATAGGATGCCCAGAATGCAAGCTAAAGGAAAACAAATACTTTTCCAAGCTGGGAGCCCCCATTTATCAGTGCATGGGCTGCTGCTTCTCCAGGGCATACCCCACTCCAGCCAGGTCCAAGAAGACAATGCTGGTCCCCAAAAACATCACCTCCGAGGCCACATGCTGTGTGGCCAAAGCATTTACAAAGGTAAGAACTACAAGGATCAGAGACGATTTCTGCCCAGTAAACTAGAGAATTGTTCATAGAGCATCCATGAAATTTAATGCCAAAAGTGTCTAGAGACCCATCTTTTTGTCGAACTTTTTTGTGGGGAGGGGTTATATTTGTACTTTAAATTAACAGAGTTAGATAAGATTAAAAATAAGTTTATTTCAGAGAAGTTGATAGTTGACTAGTGGTCACATATGGGGGAGACACAGAAGAAGGAGGTTGTATATTGGGAACAAAACTACAGACCCACAGAAAAAAGTTCTTATGTTCCTCAGCATAATAGGGTAACAGTAGTTCACCACCATTTATTATGTGTCTTGTAGAGAACTAGAGGAAAGAAATTAAAAGGTTCTCCACACAAATTAATAATAAATATGCAAGGAGATGGACAAGTTGAAAGTCTGATCTGATTATTTTATACTGCATATGCATATCAAATTGTCATGCTTGCTCATAAAAATTATCATTGTTACATGCCAGTAAAAAATAAAGTTATGAAAACAAAAGAGTTAGGATATATGCAAGGCCCTGGAGTTTGATTCTCAATGTGGCAAAATCAAAATTAAAATAAGTTGATGAGTATTTTTATAAACTGAGAATATAGGCCAAAGCCTATCATACACACAGCCCTAGGTTTAATTTTCATAACGGAACCAAATCAAGTAAAAGAAAAAAAACCCAACCCAACTCTTCCTAGAAAAGAAACAAGAGGGGCTGGGAAGGTGGTTCAGTGATAGAGTGCTTGCCTTGCATATCTGAGGCCCTAGGTTCCATTCCTCAGCACCACATAAGCAGAAAAATAAGCCAGAAGTGGCGCTGTGGCTCAAGTGGTAGAGCGCTAGCCTTGAGCTGAAGAGCTGAGGGACAGCGCCTAGGCCCAGAGTTCAGGCCCCACGACCAGAGGGCCCCCCCCAAAAAAAAAGAAAAGAAAAGAAACAAGCAACAAAGATAATAATCAAAGTACCGAACAGAAAACAAACAAATGAAGCCTGGTACAGGTTGGCTTCATTCACAATAGGGAAAGAGATGAGTACAGGGAAGTTGGGAGACAAGGATAGCATATTTACATAGTGTGAACTTAATCTTTTAGAGTGAAAATATGCCTGAAAGGGAGACTATGTAAATGTAGCCAGTATCTATTTAACTCATCTACCAATAATTTTGCCTAACATTTTTAAATGTTATCTATCTATCTATCTATCTATCTATCTATCTATCTATCTATCTATCTATCTATCTATCTATCCACCCATCCTTTCATACCTCTATCTTTGTTCCCTCTCCTGCAGGCCACAGTAATGGGGAATGCCAGAGTGGAGAACCACACCGAGTGCCACTGCAGTACTTGCTATTATCACAAATCTTAAGTATTTTGCACACTGTTGTGTTGACGACTGCTGATTTCATGGAATGGGAACTGAAGTTGTTCAGGGTTTGTGCGATACAGCCCTCCTTTTCCTGGCCAGACCATTTTGTGTGCTTCAGAAACATGCTGCAGCTCGATTGCTTTCCTCCTTCTCCTGTGCAGTACAATCAGCAGTCTAGATCTTTCCATTTGGGATAAAATATAGCATATCTCATAACCATTAAAAGCTTGTTCCATTGGAAATAAAGTCTTTTAAATCATCATTCAGTCATGGAATTATCTTTTTTTTTCTTTCTTAAAGTAAAGCCAAAGCCAGGCATGATGTCTGTAACCCTAGCTGCTTAGGAGGCTGAGAACTGAGGATTGTGATTTGAAGTAGCCTGGGTAGGAAAGTCTATGAGACTGTTATCTCAAATTTCCCAGCAGAAAGTCTAAAGTGGAGGTGTGGAACACCAACCTTGAGCCAAAAAGTTAAGGGATAGCACCTAGGCCCCAAGCTCAAGCCCCAGTACTGGCACACACACACACACACACACACACACACACACACACACACACACACAGAGTAAAGCCAATTTCTTTTGAAAGGCATGAGCCAATGGCTGTGAGTTGGGACCATGGGCACTGAGTGACCTAATATTGGATGATTTGCTCCCACTTAACTGCTAGAAGTAAACTGTGTATTCTTTCAGTCAGTGAGCAGTTATCAGAGAATCCTTTGGTATGAAAGAACTTCAGTTTCTCTTCATTTTATGCCCCCTGTAAATTTCCATTTTAATGTTTTTTTATGAAAATGAAGATACATTCTTATGGCAGTACATGTATGTAGTTTTTAAGTGAATATGCATGTATTGGAACTATTTAATCCGAACTTTTTACTGGTACAAATGTGCAATAAAACACAACCCCCAAATGACCAAGTGTTAGTGCTTTACACCTAGAATCCTAGCTACTCAGGTGGCTGAGATCTGAGAATCAGGGTTCAAAGTTAGCCCAGGTAGAAAAGATCACGAGACCCTTATCTCCAATTAATCACCAAAAAGCAAAAGTGAAGCTGAGACTCAAGTGGTAGAGTACTAACCTTGAGCCAAAAAAGCTTAGAGACAGTGCTTAGGCATCAAGTTCAAGAGTCAGGATCAACATGTGTAACACACACACACACACACACACACACACACACACACACACACAAGCCTGAGATCTGAGGATCATGGTTCAAAGCCAGGCCAAGTAGAAAAGTTTATGAGTCTCTCACTTCCAATTAACCAATAAAAAGACCAGAAGTAGAAATCTAGCTCAAGTGGTAGAACTCCAGTCTTGAGCTAATAAGCCAAGTGAGAGAACAAGGATCTGAGTTTAAGCCCTAATATCTGTGTGTGAGCGTGTGTGCACCTGCCCCCACCCCCCAACATCAAAACCAAGGGGAAAAAAAGGTTTTCGAAAATACCTTCCAACCCTAACATATCTACCTTCTTGGCCAAAAATGAAGCCTATACTGATAGTCTCTAGATGACAGGCTGTCCTAAAATCGGAAGATCCAGAGAATCAGAGCTTGTAGTTCTATGTTCAGGTCAGGGTGCAAATGAATAAATACTCAATAAAGTATCCACCGAGCACTCACTGTGGGCTAGATGGGGTTCCAAGTGCTCTCACTTAGTTCTAGCAAAATGCTTCAGAGTAGAGCCATGCGTCAAAGTCACATTTACTGAGCACTTGCACTTAGAGCTAGGGTGGTCTTCTCCTTGGGGGCAATAGCTTTATTTATCCATTAAATCATACTAGCTATGGTAGAGATCACAGCCACCCATAAGCTCAAGTCTGAAAGGAACCTGAAATTTTAAACATGAGCCTAGAATTTAAAATACCATCATAGCAGTCACAGATAAGGTTAAATAAAATTTCAACCATCACCGATTTGTCAAGATTTCCTATCTGCGTGACACTAATGTGTGGTTAGTTCTTTTGTGCATTTATTACTCATTATTTGAGTGCCTACTCTGAGATGACACTTGGCTAGACCACAAGGATTCCAAGGTATTGGGATTCTCTAGAAGTTAAAGTTGACAGAAGATAAATCAGCTTAATCTGATAGAGCAGTGGTGCTAATTATTGGTTCAGTAACATGTTTGGCAGAGGTTCATTGAGAACCTACTCTCTGTCAGGTATAGGACTTTGTTTGGAGAATCTGTCAGAGGAAGAAATCTATGAACACACCCTTGACTAGAGTGACTGGAGTGGCTTTATAAGTCTGAGATCTTCCTATTTGACAGAGGGAATGGATGAGATACTCAGGATGAGATAACTTCACAGTCTCCTAGATCAGCCATATCAACCTAGGTAAGCACCAGGGTGAAATTTTACCATGTGCCAAGCCTGTTGCTGGTCCTGAGATGAATAAGTCACACACTCTGCTCTGAAGCCATTCACAGGGTACTGAGGAAAGAAGATGTGTGCTGTAGGAGAGATCTGGGTTTTGGTGGCATAAAAAAATTGATGGCTGATTGACAGACCCTTAGCAAATCTTATGAGAAAAAAAGAGAACACACCCAAATAAACAAACTCAGAGATGAGAATGGAAACATCACTACAGAAACAGTCATGGGCCTAAACTCTGGGCCTGGATACTGTCCTTCAGCTATTCACCTCAAGGCTAGCGTTCTACCACTTGAGCCACAGCACCACTTCCACCTTTTATTTTTCTGCTTATGTGGTGCTAATAAGTTTGAGAATCTGAAAGATATGGACAAATTTCTAGCAAATATTGACATGCCCAAACTAAACCAACTTAACAGACCTATATCAAGCACTGAAATAGAAGCAGTAATAAAAGACCTTCCACCCAAGAAAAGCCTAGGACTGGATAGATTTACAGCTGAATTCTACAAGACCTTCAAAGCAGAACTCACACCAATACTCCTCCATCTCTTCAATGAAATAGAAAGCAAAAATTTACAACCATACTCTTTTTATGAAACCAGCACAACCCTCATCCCCAAACCAGGCAGGGACTCATCAAAGAAAGAGAACTAAAGACCAATTTCTTTGATGAACATTGACACAAAACTTCTCAACAAAATCTTGGCCAATCGACTTCAACAACTCATCAAAAAAGTCATACACCACGATCAAAGAGGATTCATTTCAGAGATGCAAAGCTGGTTCAATATACACAAAACAATTAATATAATTCATCACATCAACAAAAGCAAGGATAAGAACCATATGGTTATCGCAACAGATGCAGAAAAAGCACTTGACAAGATCCAATACCTCTATGATGAAAGCTCTGGAAAAACTAGGAATCCATGGAACATTCCTCAATATAATAAAGGCTGCATATGACAAACCTACAGCCAGCATTATATTTAATGGCAAAAAGTTAAAGCCATTTCCTCTAAATTCAGGAATGAGTCAAGGATGTCCACTCTTTCCACTCCTCTTCAACCTACTATTAGAATGCCGAGCTACAGCAATAAGACAAGATACAAACATAAAAGGGATCCAAATAGGGAAAGATGAAGTAAAACTCTCCCATTTTGCAGATGACATGATCTTGTATTTAAAGAACCCCATGGACTCCACTCCCAAGTTACTTGAACTATTGGAAACTTTGGCAAAGTAACAGGGTATAAAATTAACCCTCAGAAATCAATGACTTTTCTGTATGCGAATAATGAGAAGAGCATAGCTAAAATTAGGAAAGCAACCCCTTTTATAATAGCCCCACAAAAATAAAATACTTAGAAGTTAACAAAAGAGCTGAAGGAACTGTATGACGAAAACTTTAAAAACCTGAAAAAGGAAATTAAAGCAGAACTGAGCAAATGGCAAAACCTCCCATGCTCCCATGAATTGGGAGGATTAACATCATGAAAATGGCAATACTGCCAAAGGCTATCTACAAATTCAATGCGATATCTGTCAGTATCCCAACCTCATTCTTCAATGAAATAGAAGAAGCAATCCAAAAATTCATATGAAACAATGGAAGACCCCAAATAACAAAAACAATCCTTAGTAGGAAGAACAGCACTGGAGGAATATCAATTCCAAATTTCAAACTGGACTACAAACCCATAGTAATCAAAGCAGCTTGGTACTGGCGCAAGAACAGATCTGAGGACCAACGGAATAAGACTTAAGACCCAGAAATGAACCCACAGACTTATAGCCTCCTAATCTTTGACAAGGGAGCTAAAGAAATAGAATGGAAGAAAAACAGCCTTTTCAGTAAATGGTGTTGGCAAAATTGGTTAAACACTTGTAGAAAACTAAAACTACATCCATATATCTCACCCTGCACCAGAATCAACTCCAAATTGATCAGAGACCTTGAAATAAAAGCAGACTCCAAGAAAACATTACAGGAAGGAATAGGAGAAACTCTAGGGATCCTTGGCACAGGCAGAAAATTTCTAAATAGAGAGTCAGAAGCACAACAAATCAAAGAAAGGTTGGACAAATGGGATTGCATGAAACTGCAGAGTTTCTGCATGGCAAAAGACATAGCGAGCAAGTTCAAGAGAATGCCCACGGACTGGGAGAAGACCTCCACTAGCCATACAATGGACAAGGGTCTCATATCTAAAATATACTTATAACTCAAGAAACTAAATCCCCCCAACAACAAAGCCTCAAAGAAGCAACTGCCCGATTAATAAATGGGCTAAAGACTTAAAGAGAGACTTCTCTAAAGAGGAAATGAGAATGGCCATTAGATACATGAAGAAATGCTCAACTTCTCTAGCCATAAAAGAAATGCAAATCAAGACAATGATGAGATTCCATCTCACCCCAGTTAGAATGGCTATAATCAAGAAGTCTAATAACAACAGATGCTGGAGGGGATGTGGCCAAAAGGGAGCCCTACTGCATTGTTGGTGGGAATGTAAACTTGTTCAACCACTTTGGAAAGCAGTATAGAGGTTCCTCAAAAGACTCCACATAGAGCTCCCTTATGACCCAGCAATCCCACTTTTGGGCATTTACCCAAACGATCAC